TGTTTCTGCTCTGAAGATTTGAGTGTCTGGTCTAGTCCAGCCACAGCTTCTTCTGGGCAGGTATTACTGGCTGAGTGGTACAGGGAGTGAGACTTGGTGATCAGGTAAAGGCTCTTTCTCTCTAAAAGCTGGGGGAAGAATTGAAACAAATAATGCCAGTAAAAATATAAATCTAAAAGAAATCCATGGATTTCCCTGAGCAGGTCTTCAAAAATATTTGGAGATGGAGACTGCTGTGATAATGGGGGATTAAAGAAAAAAATAGTGGTGAAGTGAAATCCCTAAGACTGAAATTCAGTCGCTTTCCTCCTGCATAGCCACAGAGGTGGGGATTTACCTTTTTGGTATGACTCAGCCCCGCGCGGTGGAGCCCAGCAGACAGGGCGCTGGCTTAAGCTGCAAGAGCAGCGGGGTGAGAAGTGATTCTCAAAAATTTCCTGGTGCGCGCTGAAGCAAACCCGAAACCTTTCAAAGGCTCTTTGGTGAACAGAGAAACCATGCAGGGTGTGTCGATCTGGATGTCCCTGATTTCAAGCAGGGGCTCTCCCTGGTTAATGCCCTGACCACCTGGTTTGGACCGTGTGCCTGTGACAGCATCTGTGTGTGTGGATGTCTTTCCAGCAATTCATCTGCATTGTTTTCTTCATCTCTTTTGGCTATAAATTATACCAGATGGCTCCTAACCAACGTTTCTTGGGAATGGACACATTCCCAGAAAAGACCTGTTCTTCTAAGACCTGTGTTTTCTGCTGGAAATCATCCTTGGCTAACTCTGCGTGGCTCATCTGAGCTTAGTCCCAGGTTACTTCTCTGTGCCTGGCTTTTTGTAGCTGAAAAATCAAAGATAAAAATATTGGCTTTCTTCACAAACGCAACTATTACATAAATAGCAGTGGTGTTAACGTTCAGTAGTTGCTGTCGTTCTGGGTATCTTTCTCATGCAGTGCAGCTCAACTGCAGAGCTCGCTCCTCCCCACTCTGGTCAGCCAAGCAGTTTGTCTAGAGCCTTAATGAGCTTCCTGTATCTTTTCAAAATGTAAATTGTAACCAATTTAGAAGTCATTAGTTAAGAAGTCTGTCACAGTAGCTCCAGTTTAATTTCACCTGTCCCTTCCCTTGTTTCCATTAAAACCCATTTAATTAAATGGACTATCTCCTTCTCAGGGCAGTTGTCTCCATTTGAAATAAATGTCCTGCAAAGTCCGTGACTCAGCTGACAACAGGCAAGTAGTGACCAAGACCTGGATGATGAGACTTTCTTGCACAAATTAATGAAGAACTGTTCTTCTCTCTCCACATATCCACCAGCATTAATGGAAAAGAAAATCAGAGATGTCAAAATGCAATTTGTTTTGCTGCACGTGGGCCGGTAGAGAAAACAGGGATGCAGGTGCTGTAACCCAGCAATACCTCTCTCAGGTTGTCCGCAGTGACTGATGGGGATTTGCAACTGTAGAGTGATTGTTGCTTGAGGTAAGGCTTTAACTGCAAAAATCCATGTTTCCAGCCAAGTTATTTCAAGCAAGTGTGCTTAGCTGGATTGCAAATTCCATTTAATGTGAATGCTGCCCACCTTTTAACATCTTGGGTTTGGCATGAGCAGGTTGAGTCATAGCCTATACGTCTCTTTCTGGATGCAACACAGGAGAAAGCATTTTGACTTTGTCTTGGCTAGAGGCTAAATTGTGGTTCTCCCGATGTTGTCTCTGGTGCAAAGCCTCCCTTCCTCTAAAGGTTTCTTCCTGCCATTCTCAGCATCCCTTCACCTGTGCCTTCCCTCTGTGCTCATGAGCCAGGGAACCGATCCTAGCTTCTAATAACTTTTGTATCACCAAAAGACATGTCTGTGGAACAACAGCATTAAAAAATACTGGTGTAACCCAAGAGTGGACTATTTATCTGCCTGAGTTCATCTCCCTTTCAGACTTCTTCAGTGAGGCTGAACAAGCCCAGGTCCTCTTGCTCCCTACCCGAGTGATGCCAAACTTCTCTGCACTTCTTCATGTGTCTGTCTTTCTGTCTTGAATATGAATGACTTGGCCAGACGAGGTCTTGCCTTGTGTGTAGCACCATGTGAATGTCCTAATGAACGTGGTCAGGAGTCTGGAGCACATGACATAAGAAGAGAGGCCGAGGGAGCTGGCTTGGGGTAGGCTGGAGAAGAGAAGGCTCAGTAAGGTCTAATTGCTCCGTTCAGCTATGTAATTAAGATTATAGAGAGGGGGGCGAGCCTGACTCCTCCCAGAGGTGTGCGATGAAAGGACAAGAGGCAATGGGTGTAAGTTGCAGTAAGGGAAATTCAATGAGATGCAAGGAGCAACGTTTTCACTGTGAGGACGGTGAAAGCCCAGAGAGGTGGGAGCTTTGCTTTTCTTTGAGGTATTCAACACTCAGCTGGACAAGGTACCTTCCAGCCTAAATTTTAATAGAATTCTGCAAATGACTGTGAAATAAAACAGAAGGGATTGCATGTACAAGAAGAGATCAGTTTGAAAGCAGCATGTGTGGTCTCCTTATCTGGCTTTGAAATAACAGTATTCCATTTCAGCAGCTCCTTGCCGACGGCTGGCCAAGAGCTAAGGCAGCTGCATCACTGACATGGAATATTTGCTTTTCTACTTGAACTGCATGGAGTTCACAGATATCTCTGAGAGCAGCCAAGGCTACTTTCATCTCCTGGAGCTAATCCAAATAGATTGCGTTCCTGGAGGAAGTTAGAGGAGAGCAGGAGAAGACAGGGTATTTTTATTTAAAAATAAATTAAAAAAAAACACCTTAAAATCAAAGCACTTAGTAGGGGTCCAGCAGGATCGTGAGTTACCAGTCTTTGCTGGTACTGCATTCATCTCTCATGTCACGTGTTTCGACTGAATTGCCTTCTCTCTCCAACAAGTGGTGCTCCTAGCCAGTGTTAATTGGGCAGTGTAGAAAACGGAACAGAGCGGTTGTCTCTGTTGTACCTAATCTGTGGAAAAATGGGGGAACATCAGATTGTGAAGACTGTCAGGCTGGATTAGACTCAAGGCACACATAATCTAGTACCTTGCTTTCTTCGATGGCCAAAACGGCAGGTTTCCAGGGACCTTTTTAAAAGCTGTACAGAAGGCTTCAGGGGAAGAATCAATTCTTTTCTCCCCCTTTCCCCACAATATTGCCCTGTCTGCCTTCCTTGCAGGGTCAACTTTCAAAAATCAGGACAATTTCTAAGCGTCTCTAGAAGGCTGTGATTTGCTGATGGTGGTGTAGACCCACAGTGGGTCGTAGAGGCGAGCGGTTGGGGTTGACATAGTGCCCTGGACCGCAGGGGACAGACAGGGGAAGGCAGCTTGCATCCCCCGGGTAGGTGGGAAGAGGGCAGGAGTGACACATGGCCTCTGCCAGGGACCAGCAGGAGGCTTTTGCTGCCTCTGTTTATTTTATATGTGCAGTGTGTGTTGAATCATGAAAGCCTGGAGCCCCTGAAAAAGAAGAACAGGGAAACCTAGGCAACATTTGTCCCTCAAAAGCAGTAAGAAAGCACTTTTGCAGGGAGCACTTTCTGCAGGGACCTATCTCCAACAGAGGTCAGGATGCTCAGAAATGATCTTTGCTCTGGATTGCAGAGCTTAAAGGAAAAGAAGCTAAACTGGATCCTCTGGAGAGAGATGCAAAACCAGTAACCCCATAAGCGAGATTCACGGGATTTCATCTGCCAGTTGCAACCAAATTGTAAGGGAAAAAGCAGCACAGAGGCTAGGTAGGTCCTGGGCTACGTTTCTGCAGAGCCCATCCCTTGTTGAGCATCTGTTAAAATTCCCCAGGCACTTAGCAGCCTCTCTGGATTGCAGGCAGGTTGTTACCCTGGAGATATATACCCCAAAATGGCAAAAGATGCCTATATACAAATACTGAGCAGTCTTGTGTGGACAAGACAGACAAGAAGAGACCCCCAAAGCCCCAGTAGCTGCATTGCAGGTGTTGCCACTTTAAAAGGGGAGCACAAATGCAGACGGAGGCTTTTAGGCAGCACTAGAAAGGAAGGGAAACACCTTTCAGTATGTCACCAAACATTTAATTATGCATAAGCACATCAAAATAATAATGGAAACAAAATTTTTTTTTTAAAGACGGAATGGCACACAAGAAGTTTTCCTTCTTTTTTTCCCAGACGCCTGTCTTGGGGCTAGGAGGGAAAGATACATAAGTGTTTGGAGTTACATTTTCCTTTATTTTCACAGCTGTATTATACACGGAATGATCTGACACAAGAAAATGTACCCTGGGATTGTGACTTCATGATTTCTGTTTTGTTGAGAATCAAATGTTTGGTGCTGGAAGCCATAAACTTCTAAAGCATAGCACCATTTGTCTGGTCCTATTTTCCTCTTCATAAAATCATGAATTCTGAAAACACAATCTTGCAGTAATTTTTCCTAGAACCTAATAGTTCTGCTGGCTGTCCACATTAGTGCAATGCCTGGGCTTTCAGACAGCTTTTTGTTACCCGTTTTCTCTCTCAATGAGATATTGTGGAAATGGAAACACTTGCCTGCCAGTGATGATACTGAAGAATACCTACTTTCACTTTTATAGTTTTCAAAAGTAACAAGTCCTTAGGGAATATATATACTTGATCTCTTGTTTATCATGGGCTGTTGCTGACTGGCAATGATGAGAGTATTTCCATTTGCTTTCATCTGGCTGAGGGTAAATGTTTACCTGCTGCTGCGCTTTCTCTGGGATATTTTTTGTGACACATCTCTGAGGCGAATCCATTGTTTGATGTCTACTGGATCTTTTTTCTGATTAGTTCCCTCGTCTGGATTATGATATCCCACAATGTTATCAAAAGGTGCAAGAAGATCTATGGGAACCCCTGAATGCATGATCCAAGAGGTGTTTCCAGAAGGGTGGCAGGGGTTTATTTTAAATGCCTGAAGAAATCCCTCATAGAAGACATGCTTTTCTGTCTGGAAAGTTGGAGAACCCACGAAGGATTTTGGGAGGTTACATCTCCATACTCTGGACAATGGTAGGCTTCTCACATCTCAGGCACCAGCAGGCTTCAGTGAGGTATTGTCTGACTTTCTTGTAACCAAACACAATGACATAGGAACTGGATGAGTAATAGATGCACGACAGCACTCTGTAGAGACCTCTGAGAATGCTGTTCTCAAAATTGTGCTTAAGGAGTCCTGAAACAAGAGCAATCCAGGTGATGTCGTTGGAGAGCCAGCAGACAACATAAATGGAAAGCAGTGAGAGCAAGACCTTGGTTGCCTGAGCCGTGCGCTTGTTCCAAGTGCTCCCTGTGGTGCAGGCAGCCCTTATCTTTCTCCTTTGCCTCCAGAGGAGGTCAATGATGAATCCATTCAGGACTATCACAAGGATGATGAAGATGAGATCCAGGCTGACAGAGGCATAGGTGGTGAACTTCATGATGAAACTCCCTGGAGAACCTAAGCAAGTGCTGGTAGCCAGACACACGGTGGTTTCATTACTTAATCCTCTCTGCTGTTGTGTTGTACTGAAAGTAGGGCAATTGGAAGATGATGCTGAAGATCCAGCACCCAGCAAGGATGGTGTTCACGTACTGCCCCTGGTGCCTGTAGATGAACTTGGACCAGTGATGGTTAGGTCTGTGGATCTTTATCAGATGGAGGAAACTTAGATTCTCCACTGACCAGATGCTGATCAACCTCAGCATGTGATATGTGTAGAGGAGGATGCGGCATCCCCTTTAACCAAAAACACTGGAGCTGGCAAAGGAGATGACTGCTGGGACCTCTTTGTAGCAACAGAGTAAGAGGTTCACCAGGTCCATGTTGACAATGATCCTGTCTAAGGGCTGAAGGACTTTGTGCCGGATGGCATTACTGATAAAAGCAAAGAGCATGATGAGGTTGCCTACTGTGCCAGTAAATGCCAAGAAATAAATGAAGATGGAAATAGGGTTACATAACTGATGCCTGAAGGTGGGCTCCCAGCTGCTTTCCCAACTTTTTCCTCCTTGCCTTGGCTGGTTGAACCTACCTACCACATCTGCCTCTGGCTCTGTACCATGTCTCGGTGGTGGCAGCGTTGCTATCGCCTCTCTCTGTGGGGCTGTTCCCTGCTCTCCACCAAGGTTTGCAGGCTACAGCTCCACTAGCTTTGTTTGCTCTGCTGCCTGTGCAGCTGCTCTTATCTCGCTCAGAAGGGCCAGGGAGGGTGGAGATTAGGCAGGGAGCTGTGCCATGGCTGAAAATGTTACATATGTAAGTAGACAGGCTTGCAAGTGAAAAGCCCTGCAGAAAGTGGTGGGGTTGGAGGGAGAGCTTGCGAGCTGAAGTTAGCTTGAAGCTTGTACTGAGCACTGGGAGGACCTCTCTGCTGTGGTTGGTCACTTGGTGCGGGAGACGATTAATGAAAAATCTGCCTTGATGCGACAGGATGGTGCATGAGTCCATGTGTATGTGAAGGTGACAGGGGAAAAAAAGCTATTAAAAAAAGCCCATGACTGAAATGCAGAAGTTTGTGTCTTAACTATGATCCAGCCCTCTCCTTCCTCTACTCCCGCCCATCCCACCCAGCAGGCACTGAAAACCCCTAAGGCTTGATGTCCTAGTCCCTCAGGGCTATCAGATCTGCCTCTGGGCTTGCACAGAAATGCCCCGCTCAGAGCAGCTGGACCCTTTTGCCATTTGGGATCCAGCAGCTAAGCAGTTTGCGTATAGAGATCCTGCTCTGATCCGTGTTATCAGAGCTCATCAGAGGTCATCAGCATGGCTGATATCAGCATCATCAGCCCCTTGGCATGAGATAATTGTAGCTGCTATGTTATAAAAAGAAAAAATCTGGTGCTGACACCCCACTTGCCTTTAAAGGAAGGGCACCTGCCCAGGTTCATGTCATTGCCAGGAAGAAGCTGCCTGACAGCCGGGCTCCTGGCTCCCCACCGTGCAAGTCCTGTTGGGGCTGGAGTGGGATGCAGGCAGGAATATTCTGGTCAGGGTGGGCGAGGAGCTCTGGCCTCCCACAGAAGCTCAGATCACAGTTTCTGGGTTTCCTTGGTCCTGTAACTAAAATAAGAGGGGCTCGAGCTGCCCAGTTCATATCCAGCTCTCCCCTCTGTGCTCCCTGGGAAAGGATGCATCATTTCTGATGGGAGCCCAGCAACTTACTGGGGATGTTCTGCAGGAATGATGGTTTCTGAGTGGTTTCTGATGTGGTGAGGACTGCATGGGCACATTGGTGGTTAAAATAAACTCTCTGAGAAGAAGGAACAGAATCCAGGGCTCATTTCACTTTCAGACTTCTGCAGTACTCATTTATTTTAAAGCAATAGTTCAACTTCAGAGGCTGTATTTTTTTTTTTTTCAAGCAGTGTATTAGTCCTGGGAATTTTTTTCTATTTTACCAGATTTTTCAAAATCAAGCTACTATTTATTTTACTGATTGGAAGTGGAACAATGCTAAACTCTTTCTTTTTTTTTTTTTTTTCAGTGGAAACACAAGAAAAAAACACATTTGATTTTGTCCCCTCCCAGCTTTGTTCCCAAATCATGTTGACTCAGAGTGGCTGGATCAGACAGGGAGAGAGGGAGGCTCTCCATGAAGGAGATCAGTACCATATTGTGTGATTGAGGCTCAGTTGTGGACCCCGCTGGGGCTGACTGCTTTTGCTGAGTGTGGTCTGCTTTTGACCATGCAGGTGTCAAGCAAATAGACCTGCTACTTAAACGGGGGCTCCTATTGCAACTTCTCTTGAGGTCAGACCCATGCAAGAGCTCATACTTGGAGATTAATGAAGACATCAGGGCAACGGTGGTGGGGACGGACAGTGTCTTTTGTGCCGTTAACGCAGGGCTGGAAGAACGAATTGATGGCCAGTGATGACTGCCCAGGTTACATTATCTTCTCTTCGATTTAATCACTGTATGATTATTCCAGAGCTTGAAAATTACGTACAATATAACATTTCGTTTAAGAACGGCATGATGTGAGCTGTTTGTTCAAGTCTCTGAGCAGGCAATCATCTATCATAGCTCTGGTCTGGCCCTGCTTGAGCCCCACATTGGGCACCAATAAATCTGTCGTGGTTTGGGCTGCACTGGCCACTGGGACATGGGGCACCCCCGATGGGACTGACAGATGCTCCCCTCTACCCCTCTTCAAAGAGAGAGGCAGAGGAGGGAAAAAGAGACTTATGAGTTTAGAAGGAACTAAACTAATTTAATGAAATATTAATAATAAAATAAGCAGAAAATAATGAAATATATACAAAACCCTATCAAGCTCCTGAGATGACAATCACGACACCGGCTGGCACTGGGGCAGTCCCAGGCTGGACTCAGTGACAGATGGGAACTGGATTCCCGATCTGCATTCCGGATCGGGATCAAAGGCAGACCAACAGAGTCCTCCTCAGACGTCGGCCATTGAAGGACGAGCGCTGACCCTTTGATCCCTCAGCCTTTATAATGAGCATGAGGCAGATGGGATGGAATACTCAGTTGGTCAGTTTTGGGTCACCTGTCCTGTCCGCTCCTCCCCACAGGTGGGACCCTGCTACGCTTTTCCACTTCTGACCCTCCAACGGGGCAAATAACAAAGTTATCTGCCCTTCAATGTTATAGCAGTACGTATAAGCAAGAGCCTCTCTGCATACCATGCCTGGGCATCAACTGTAAACACAGGTCTTATCACTGAGAGCGAACAGTTTCTGCACCATACGCTGTTAATTTCGGTAGTTAGAAGAGGCCCAGCTAAGACAAAGAGTTACTGAACAAAATTGGTTCTCTTTTACCTCAAACCAGGACATAAACATTGTGCTGTTGCTTTTATTGGCTGGCTACTGGTAGAAGTTACTGGAAGATTTCCAATGTTCCTACTTCCATACAAAGTGTACAGATGTGCAAGGGGTGGCTAGGATCCCACCTACCTGCCCCAAATCAGCACGAGGTCTACCTGCTGCACACCTGATATTTGGCTGTCTGCTTGAAAGCCACCAGTGATGGGACACATGCCCTCTCCCACCTCTAAACCCTTCCACTTCATCACTGTGTCTGTTCACAACAAGGATTTCCTTTATGTCTGACCTAAATCTTCCTGGGGACAATGTAAGCTCAATATCATCACTATTCTGTAATGAATATTCATTATAATTCTGTAATGTATAACGAAGGTCAGTGTTCTTTAATAAGATAGAATTAAGGCGCACAGGAGGTCCATTTAATAACAGAGGTGACTGGTATATAAAGTGGGGAGATGTTATAATTAATATCACAAGAATGGCAATGTGCTAAGGAAACTCCTGGCAACCAGATGAAGGGATGCCATGAAGTTTTAGCTTCAAGAAGTTAAAAAAAGCATCGACTGAAGTTAATGGAAATTCTGCCTGCATAAGAAACACAGGTGGAAAGGAAAATCGGCTTATTTTAATCAAAGCGAGAGGAAAAAAACCTAATTTAAATCAGTCCAAGTGATTGCAGGCTTAATTCTTTCCCCTTATTAGACTCTTCAATCCGAACCCAACAGTCCTAAGAGATCTTTTTACGTTGGAGACACAGGAATTCCATTTGTATGCATGCTGACCCCTTGAAGTGATACAGCGAATCTCTTGGTCCTCTCTCGGTGGGATGGCTTTCAAGCTGAATCTTCTGGTAAAGACGTTTACATTGAAACCATCCCTTTCTGGAAATCGCGGTGGGTGGGGAGACAATGTCCCCTCTGTGAGTGCTCTCAGATACATGGATCTGAGGTGCTAAATAATTGCTATGGATGGAAGAAGGAGGAGGGAGCTTTGCTCCTGTTCTGAGCTGGAGGCAAAGGATGGCGGACACACAGAAATGCAGATCTGTTGATCTATGGGCTGAGAACAGCCTTTAAATCCCCACTGCTGGTTACCAAACTACTAACCTTTCCTTCAGCCTGTAATCATAGCTTCCCTGTTCCACTGTGGTGACGATATAGGAAAAAAACCCCATAAGGCTGAAGTATTCCCCTGCTCTCTGCAGAGCACAGTGTCAGAAACTGGCATGCAGAGGAGACCATATCATCAGAGGCGACCAAGCTGCTCCTCCTGGGAAAGGCAGTTTTGCTGGAGCCAAGGATGTGTTGATTCCAGGAAAATGTCAAACAACTTTCACCTTCCCTCGTTTACTTTCAACAACACAGCATGGTTTTGCTGACGTTCCATTTCAATTCTCATCAGGTTGCTTTAAAACTTGTTCTTGGCTGTGCAGCACCTTGAAGGAGAACACATCAGTATTGCCAGAGAGAAACTCTGGAGGTATCTTTGAATGCATTGAAGTTGATGGCATCAGAGTTTGGAAAACCATGTAGCCCTTGAAAAGCAGCACACATTAGCTTAGGAAAGAAGTTTAACCCCAAACTGATGCTGAGCAGAGTGGCTAGGCACAGGTCATCTTCTGGAAGGACCGTGTGGATGAACATCT